CTCTGTGTCTCCAGGTGAGTAAAGCAGCATGGGGGGGAGGTTGCAGAGCAGTAGCCTGAAGTGCTGCGAGGGAAGGGGGGGTTGTCTGTAGAAAGTTGTCCCCCCCCCCCTTGCTCTGCTAAGGGCTGTAAAATTAATGCACAGTCTAACACGACAGCCCTGCAGGTAAGCACTCACCCCAGCAATCGGGGAAAACAATAGCTCCTAGAGATACTTGCGCCAAGTCCTTTCCTCCATTCCCAGGGAGCTGGCGTGCCAAGGAAGTTGCCTGGAAATAGCTAGTCGTAGGCCTCCCATAACTTCTCCTTACAGCCCCTGACAGGAACTACTTGGCCCGTGCGGATTCGTTTAAGCGGTTGTGGATATTTCAGACTGAGTGGCCCAGTCCTGTTGTTGTTGGTTATTCAATTGCAACCCTTCCTGGCTCAAGTATGGGAGAGCAGACTAGCTTTGGTGGGTTCTCTCTAGCAGGATTAGGAGTGTCCTAGAAAGCATGTAAATGTGCCGTTTAAAGTTGTGATTGCTATTATTAGGATTTAATATTTTGTGGGCTGGGGCTTGTAATTCACTTTCTTTCTTCCCACCTTTTAGTTACAATATAATTTAGCACAATGTCACAGCAGCGAGTCCTGCCTCAGAGTAAAGAAACCCTCCTTCAGTCCTACAACAAGAGACTGAAAGATGACATCAAGTCAATCATGGATAACTTCACAGAGATCATCAAGACTGCTAAGGTGGGTGACCATTTGAGAGAAGGCAAATACCCATTTGGTAGTAGTCACTAAGGCATGGGTATAGGAGTCCAATCCAGAGTAGATGAATGGCTGGAGCCCCTTTAGTTCTAGAGAAAGGGGCAAGTACTTGTACATAACTGATGATGCTCATGTAAAGCTTGCTTAAAAAAAATCCCATAAATAGAACATTCCCTTAAAGTATAATATAGTCCACAGTTAGATTTAGGCAAGCTATTTGAGAGGTCAGTTTCCTGCATCACTTAAAGGAACAGAATTCCACTACTACCATCACATTCAACAACTATGCTTCAAAACACTTACCCCAGACGTATACATCCTGGAGAGGATTCCTAATAGCCTTCAGCCTGTAGCTCCTGTCACAGCTGTAGGGTTCCTAATTCTTTGCGCCTACCCACTCACTGCATTTATGTTTCTTCCTTGTATTTATTAACCATTCTTTTTAGCATGTAATATATAGCACAGTCCTCAGAACTGTGACCCACCTAGCCCAGTCCTCACCTTCTTAAATCAGTTTCCTTATGTAAAACACATGTGGGTGAGGCAAAGGCCAATTAGCCAGTTTGGAAAGGGTAACACATGGCAGATGGAGCATTAATGAGTGCACTGAACAAAAGAATAGACCCGTTCATCATGCTAATCTGCTGTAGATAATCTGATCTGACTCCTTGTTTTGTAATGAACCATTAGAAACTAGCTCTCTGGCTGAAATCTAGAGCAGACGTGACTTGAGTGCTGAGAAAAGTGATGCTTGTCTATAATTGTTGGAGTATTTTAGACTCTGTTTAGATAAAAGATACCATAATAATTTAAGATTGTAATTTAATCTTCCTGTAAATTGGAACCCAGATCCTAATTATGCATTTGCAGGATTAGATCCTGATGTAAAATGGGTTGACATAAACATAGATCCCATAAAATTTGCTCAGAATGATCTTTACACCTTAAAGTAGGAGTTCCCAATCTTTTTCGTTCCCCATAAACCCTTGGCTTTTAGTAAACCTTCCCGTACCCCCTATTCAGTATGAAAGGAAATAAATTTTAGACTCTAGAATCTACAACTTTTTTCACTAACACTACTACTTTTGGAATATTTCAATTAGGATAATCTAGTTATTTACCAAATATTCCCCGTACCTCTTTGACAAGCTTCTCGTACCCCCTGGCGTACCCCAGGTTGGAATCCCTGCCTTAAAGGCTAGCAGTACCAATCTAGCACACAGGAAAAGGCTGTATTTGAAAACTGAACAGTGAGATCTACGTGGCTCATAAAGATTCAACAGGTGAAGCTTTCACTTCCTGGAGTCAGATTCTTCATTTATGTATGTCAAGCTTAGCCTTAGTCTTTAATGAGGCTTTAATTGCTTTATACTGAGTGGGGCCAAGTTTGGCCTCCTGAGTTTTCAGCAGTTCATTTTAGCAAGTGAACAACTGCAACTTATGCTACTCGCCTTCCCTAAAACAGCCCAATCAAGCAAGTGGGAAGTGCTGGAAAGTCAGTGGTGGGAAGAATCAAAGATAATCCAGGGAAAACAGAGAGGCAAACATTGTTCCACACAGCAATTCATTCACGTGGGAAGAGATGGGAGATCAAAGAATGGTGCACTCTTAACCCTGGTCCTATCAAAACATCTGCTAGATGGAATCAAGGACACAGGCTCCTTTTATATGTGGTTTGAACTACTGTAAAGCAATACCCTCTTCTGGGCTGCAGGAATATTGGCTGGAGATGCATGGCTTTTTTCTTTAATTTTTAGATTGAAGATGAAACCCAAGTCTCTCGAGCGACCCAGAGTGAGCAGGACAACTATGAGATGCACGTCAGAGCTGCCAACATTGTAAGTACAGCTTGTGTGCCAAGCAGGTGTACCACAGAGCGGATCTTGTGCGCTCTGGTCTGTTATTAGCATCCACCAGGAGCACTCAGAATGCTGATGTGAACAGCTGCGAGAAGTGTAATCCACACTGAGTGGCTTTCCCCAGTGTAAAGGAAGGGAGTGATTTTTCTGTTTGCTCTGGATTTCTGTTTGGGTCCCAACTTTTGGAGCTGCCTGGTTTTAAGTGGGAGACCCCTGCTGCAATCCTCCGCCTGGCTTAATGTTAAGACATTCTTTTGCCTGGGGAGGGTGACAAAACATGGGGTTTATGCTATTGATGGCCACGCTGGGGCAAAAGAACATAATTGCTCATGCATATGAGCTGCATCCCTGTGGTGTGCATGGGCAACTGTACCAGGCTTATGCATTCTTCCTCTGGCACGACAGGCTTTTGGCTAGCGTTTTAGCCAAGTGGCTCTCATGTCGCACAGTCTGGTATTGGGAGGGCTTGAGGGAGCCGGTCAGCAGATCATGTTGCCAGGCTGTAGTAAAGGACCCCAATCTGTGTCCTATATGCTTAATCTTTTATCTACCTGCAAGGTCCGAGCTGGCGAGTCCCTAATGAAGCTTGTATCCGACCTAAAGCAGTTCTTGATCCTCAATGACTTCCCCTCGGTGAACGAAGCCATTAACCAGCGCAACCAGCAGCTGCGGAGCGTGCAGGACGAGTGTGACAAAAAGCTGATCTCGCTGAGGGATGAGATTTCCATTGACCTGTATGAGCTAGAAGAAGAATATTACTCTTCCAGGTACAAATAGGGCCACGGACTCCTCTGTACTAACAAGCCTCCTCCAGTATCCAGTAGGGATGTTTAAATACGTTTATTTAGGTAAACATGTAACCGCTGAAATTTTCAGCGGTTACATGTTTCAACGGGGGGCTGCGCTGGAGCCCGTGAGCCAGCTTTTAAGCCAGCTCCCTGTGCATACCAGCTCCCATGGAGCTGCCTGACTCTCCTCGTGCTGTTCCCTCTGATACAGAGGCAGCAGTGCAGGTGGGAGGAAGGGGGAGGGGCAGACTCGCTGGGAGCCAGCTTAAAAGGGCTGCATGTAACTGGGAAGATTAACCAATGAGCCCAGGCTCATCGGTTACACTAGCACATCCCTGGTCTCCAGTCCTTTTTGAAAAACAGGGTAGGAGAGCAGATAGGCCTCAAGACACAAATCTCTAAGTGGACATTTCCCCCTTAAGATTCACACCTGTGTTAATTAGATCAAACTTGTCTTCTACAACTTAAAACAAGCCGGCTACGTCTAGACTGGCATGATTTTCCGGAAATGCTTTTAACGGAAAAGTTTTCCGTTAAAAGCATTTTCGGAAAAGAGCGTCTAGATTGGCACGGCAAAAGCACTTTTTGTGGAAAAGCGTCCGTGCCAATCTAGACGCGCTTTTGCACAAAAAAGCCCCGATCGCCATTTTAGCCATCGGGGCTTTTTTGCACAAAACAGTACTGTGCTGTCTACACTGGCCCTCTTGCGCAAATGATTTGCGCAAGAGGGCTTTTGCCCGAACGGGAGCAATGTAGTATTTCCGCCAGAACACTGACAATCTTACATGAGATCGTCAGCGTTCTTGCGGCAATTCAAGCGGCCAATGTAGACAGCTGGCAAGTTTTTCTGCAACAGCAGCTGATTTTGCGGAAAAACTGGCCAGTCTAGACACAGCTGCCATGAAGATGCTAAGCAGTCAGACTAGGATGAGCAGAGCCCCTCACAAGTATCCTAACTACATGATGTACCTATTTTCCCTAGACCTCACCACCATTAACTGTCTGGAGTCTATTTTAAATGAGCTCCAGGGACATCATCAAGTAGCTTAGAATCAACTTTTTTCTGTCTCTAGCAGGGTGAGATGGTTGGTGAGTGTTTTTTTGCAAAACCTACCACTAATCTATCTTTTGTGAAATCTGCTTAAAGACTTTCAACCAAAGGTAGAGTCTGGTGGATGCAAAACTCTGTGGGGTTTTCCCCCCTCTCCCTTCCCTCCTGATATAGCGGTAACCTCCAATGTGGCAAGTTAATGTGATCCAGTAAGTGAAAGTGACTGGAAACAGATCTGAAAGGAACTAGTTTGACTGCATGCTACGCCCGGGAAGTGCAAAAAGTTAATAGTATAAATGATGAAAAACAAAGTAGGTCTTTAACTTCTTTCACTTTTAATCCGCTTTGGTAAGCTGATTTTTTTTTATTAGTCCCTAAAAGGTTTTGTGGTAACTACAGATGTTCAAATCAACTGGAACTTTGAAAATCTGGCCATAATTTACTGGTAACACAGGTTTTTTTAGAAATAAATGTTAGCCCAACGGTGTCCTATTAAACCTGATACTTCAAGAAAAGTCACCTTGCATAGCTGGGAAAAAGAGAGGAACCATTATGAAAAGGACAGTGAAAGTCCCAGTATGTATGTCGGGAATGAGTGGAAAGGGAATTGAGTAAGGTTCTAGACTATTGACTGATCTAAGCAAAAATTCAGGTTTTAACTCGATCAGAACTTTATTACTTCGTGACTTGGTCATCCACTGCAGTGCTGGCTTGTTGTCTAACGGGTGTGTAAGGTTATGGTGACCCAAACGTGAGCCTGCAGTGTATGTATGTGACATTGTAACCAGACACTCTGGCATGTACATTTGTCATCCTAACATCTTTGGACTAACAGGTTCTGACCATGCTGGTGGGGTCGCTATGACACTGCATTAAGCAACCCTTCCTAGCAGAATGACTATCTAAGCAGGAGCAGGTTTTTAGTTTTGTTTGTTTATGGTCTTCCCCACTCCCCTCCCCTTTGCACCAAATCAATCCACTTTTATTTTGTTTCTAATATGAAGTGCTCATATGGTGAGAAATCTTGCATAGACTATAGAGCTATGCTTTCTTTAATAATGCTCCATGGCCTGTAGCTACACCTAATGTGTTATCCACTGGCCCTTGAGCACTTATTCCCTTTTCCTTCCTTTTAAAGAAACCTTTATTTCCACGCCAAAGAAATGTCTGTGCGTGTTTAAATAGAAACAAGAAGTGGCTTGTCCAAAGTACTTTTATACCTAGAGTTATAAGGATTTTTTTTAACCAGTTTTACTGTTTGATATGGAGACAGGGGTTTCCATTTTGTACTCAATGACACATGGCTGTCGGACATTGATTGTGTTTCAGTGGCTGTAAATGCAAGACTCAGAGTGCATCTGGAGAGGGTGAGATGACTGATTCTAGAGAACTCAGCTGAGGGTCAGCAGCTGTCAACACCTTGTTGACTAGGCATGTCATTTTGTTCTATCACGGCCTAATCCTGCTCTCCCTTACCACGTTGGCAGCTTTGCAGCTGACGTCAGTAGGAACAGGACAGTAGGTTTCTCCCAACCACCATCCAAATGGCTCTCCCAATCTCTGGTTTCCCTTTGTGGTTTTTCACCATCCCCAGTAGCTAGGACATTTAGGGTATGTCTACACAGCAACATTATTTTGAAATAATTTAGTCCGCATCTACACAGCAGGCAGTTATTTTGAAATACAGGAGGCCCCTGACTTGCGATGCGATCGGTTCCGGAGGAAGCATCGCAAGTCGGGGGCGTTGTAACTCAAACCCGCATTTATAGTGTGCACTGTTGTAAATGCGGGCCAAGGACATAAGTCGGGGGTTTCCGGCCCTTTCCGCACTTACAAAAATGGTTGTTAGTGCGATGGGTCGGAAGTCGGGCGGTCGCATCTTGGGGGCCTCCTGCACTATCAAGCTGGAGGACTTCTTACTCCGTTTCCTGTAACCCTTGTTGTGCAAGGAGTACGGGAAGTCAGAGGAAATAAGTGCCGTGTAGACACTCCCGATTTCAAAATAAGCTACACAATTGAGGTAGCTCAATTTGTGTAGCCTATTTCAAGTTATTCCCTGCTGTGTAGATGCACCCTTAGAATTTTCCTCCTAAAACGTTGCTTCCTGGCATCCCTTTGGGTGAGGCTGCACACCCCATCTGGTAGCCTGCAGGTGTTCCCTGTGCATTGCTTGTCCAGGCAGAACTCCTGTTAACTTCACTGCTTGTCTGTGAGAGAACACTAGGATTAGGCTCTGTGCTTTGGAGTAGGGATCACCACAAAGGGCATATTTTCACAAGGGATGTGAAAGAATAACCATTTAAATGGTTACTCGCCGGCTCTCGCCCCGCTCCTGGGGAGCCAGCTGCCACCCCACACTGCTAGCTCTGCCAGAGCCAGCAGAGTGGGGGCAGCAGACAGCTCCCTGGGAACAGGACTTTGGACGGGAGCCAGTGCTTGTTGGGAGCTGGCTTAAAAGCTAGCTTCTGGGGTGCCGGCTGCTGCCCCACACTGCTGCCTCTGATTCAGAAGCAGCAGCACGTGGCGACAGCTGGTGCATGCCAGGAACTGGCTGCTGCACTGCACTGTGTGTATGTGTAACCGCTGAAGTTACACAGTTACCCAATTAACATTGCTAGTTCTCACTCCTGTCACAGTTACAGTTTGCAGGATGCTCTTGCCCCTATATACTAATTACCAGTCTGTGTGGGTTTTTGCTAGTAAGCATTGATTTTGTAAGAAAATTTGGGAGCCAAGATTCTTTCAAAGCAACCCATGTGCTTTTTGTGATCTAGGCAGGTGCCGCCTCACATCAATTTATATGAGAGCAGGATCAGGCTACCCTAGAACGAAAGGATGTGCCTAGTCCTAAGCAGTGTAAGGAGTTGAGAGTGACTGACCCCCAGCTGAGCTCCCAGTCCCAGTAGTGTGCCCGAGGGGAGCATTTCATCCTGAGCATCAGGCTCCCAACATCTCCTTTGGGGTCACATCCAGCAAAGCCTCCGGGTCCTTTTTCCTGTGAGGGACCATAGTAACTGTAAACAGCAGGGTACTGGCTGGAGAGCTGTCATGTAAATGTTGAGGGCTATATAATTGGGGAGAGCAGAGAAGAGGAGTTGCCCACTTCCTTTCCAGAGCTGCATTTCAGCCAGATGCTAGGCTGAAGAATTCCTAGTTGTCCTCCAGGTGAGGTGTGCGGGACACCGTGACCTAGTTCTCTGGGATCCAGTTGTGAGTGGCTGAGACCCCGTGGTAAGGGAAAGGGAATAGTTGGTGGATTCAAAACTTGTGAGTCCCAGTCCTGTAGTCTTGCATGCATCACTCATTCGCAGCCTCGTTTGGCACTGCAGGATGGGGTGCGAAGTCTTCATATGCCAGCAAAGAGACCTCAGGTGGTGATTCTACAAAAGCTCCAGATGCCAGGTGCCCTCTCTCTTGCAAACCCTGTGGGGTGACAACTGGAAAAGAGGTGACTTGGCATTGGGTGAGCTCAGTATTATGGCCAAAACCCAAGTGCTTTAAATCCCTACAGAAGGTGCTTATTCCCCAAAGAAGTTGCCCGTACACTCCAGCTTGCCTTATGCATTTCTGGTCTCCCCACTCCCATCCCTCCGAGAGCATGGCTTGGCGACTGGAGGGAGAGTTTAAAGTTCCACCTGTTAGAAGCATCTCCTCAGTTCAAAGTATTTAGTCTCTTTTTCTATATATTTTTACCCTTTAAAATATATCCCATAAATCTCTATTTGAGTCTATTGATTGTAAATAAAACAGAAACAAGAAAACCACTGGTCCCCTTGGGTTTGTTTTTATTTTGAACACAAGCTATTTCCTATTCCAGCACTCGCTTCAGTCTCTGGGTGTCTCTTGCATGGGCAGCTCCTTCCTCTCTTCCAGCATTTTTTCCCTCTGTTTTTAGTTTCGGTATAAAACCCTGCCACTGTGCATCTACCTCAGACTTCAGAGCAGGACCCAGGGCAAGAGTTAGCCACTAGCTTAGGGACACAGGATTTGCCATAACTAGATGCACCGGTAGAGTGAACAACCTTGTCCCCTGCTGTGATCAAACCCCTCCATAACCTGTTTTTTGTTTTGTTTTTTCAGAAGAGCTGAGCACACACAATTGCTGTTGAAGTTAATGGGATCTACAGGTGCTCAGCATCTCTGAAAATCTGGCCAAAGACAGAGCAGGGGAAGGCATACATCTCCCATACATTTTTACCAGTTTTGTAAGGCTGGAGATGGGTGAGGGGAAGGATTTTTTTTTCCTCCCTTGGTTCTACAATAATTAGTTTAAGGGCTGCAGCATGACAATCAGTTGTCTTTTTTGTTGTTGACACAACTTTTGTGGCTGTTCTTCATAACTTTGGATTAGTGGAGAAGATGATAGAGACTTTGTTTTTTGGCTTTAGCAAAAAGAATGGAATTATGACCAATTCAGACCATTCAGTGACACAACCTGGTAATGCTCCTTGAAAGAACTTCAAGTACTTTGGGGGGCCTTTTGATTTGGGTTTTTTTGCCCCCTGGTAAACCAAGAATCACCTTGGGCTGTAAATGTTTACGGACAAGCTTTTGAAAGTGGCTGCTGGCTTTTAGCTCGGAGCCCTGAGTTGGAGATGTGCAGAGGACTCGCAGCTCCTGTCAGTAGCGAGCACTCAGCTTTTCTGAAATTCGGGGTCCTGTGCCTTAAATTGGGCACCCAAAATCACAAGTAAAATTGGGCCAAAAGGTCTGATTTTTCCTCTCAATTGGTTCCTGATCCAGCTCCCAATGAAATTGCCCTGATGAAATCCTGCCACTACTTGCCATTGATGTTAATGGGGCAGGATTTTGCCCCCGCTGTCTTTCCTTTGACTTGAATGCAAATTAGTGGGGCCCCCATATCAGTTTCAGACTGGAGTCACACCACTTGCTTCAACGAAAGGACCTCTGATCCTCCCAAGGCTAGTGAACCCTGTTAGGGCACGTCAGTGTCTTGAGACTCACGATAAAGTTATAGCCCACAGTCATTATGTCCATGGACGCTTTTGCCATTTTCTTAACGCTTTGCTTCTGTCTTGCTTTCTCCCCTCCTTCCTCCCCTCCCCCTCTGATCGCACCCGCTCTCTCTCCTTACTGGGGTGGCTTGTTCTGGAAAGCTACAGTCTGTGTGACACCAATGATCTTCCTCTGTGCGAAGCCTACTGGAGAGAAGACCCTGCTGTGCTTTCCCCCGAAGATCTCTCCATGCCTCTGTCTGCTGTCCTGGCAGAGCAGATCACTGCTGCCCCTCAGGGCTCCACCCCATCGCACCCTCACGTGAACGGGCACGGGGCAGGCCCCGCGGAGCATTCCTGAAGAAGACGCTGTGCGAGCTGAACAGGTTCAGAGCAGTGGTGCTGAGCTGCTGGAGTCTTCCCTGCTGCTGGAGTAAGCCAGCCTGTCCTTGTGTTTGCAGGTCACCTGCTGCTTGTTCACTGGGTATCAGCAGTGACCTCACCTCTTGAGCCACACCTGTGAAAGTGTTTCCTTAGGGCTGTAGTAGAAAGTAATGGGCCAATAGGAAATTGACTGCTGTAGCCACTAGGAGCTAGAATGTGTCTTATTTTAGTGCATGATGGCGACAAGTAGGAGCCTGGAGTTGTCCATATGAATCCTGGGTTGGGAGCTTGTTACGGTGCTGTGTGTGAATCTAGTGTATTACGGTTCTGAATAGGAAATTTGGGCCAAGGTTTTGGGTGGTTTGTAGGTATTTTAGTATTTATTTCTTCCAAAGACTCAAGATAATTAACATTTAGGTGCTTCCTATATCAGTATTCCCAGGCTCGTCCTCTTCTGGGGTGCCGCTAGAATGACCGTGACTGTAGTTTGAAAGAATAATCATCTCATTGTTTGTAGACAGCACTCGTCACCTTCAAGGTGCTTTGCAAACTTGGATCGTTGTGCTCAGAAACTACTGAGATGGGAGAGCCAAAACGACATGGACTCCCTGCCGCACGTTTGCCACAGACATAAAAGCTATTCTTTTTGAAGTGCCAGGGAAACTGAGGCAGCAGTGCAGTGACTTGCCCAAGGCTACAGATGGAGGCAGTGTCAAAGCCAGGATTAGAATTAAGGAATACTGGCTTCCAATGTGTTGCTCAGACTACTTTTTTTCAAATGATCGATGAAGCTGCTATGAAGTTAGTTTTAAGGGCACTGATGAGTGCTGTTTTAATCAAAAGCAGTGTGGCAAGTTGTGGTTGGATGTGTGCTCGTGGGTAAGAAGCTCTTTGCCTCCTCTTAACTAGGAAACCATCCTGTGCAGTTTCCAAGAGCCATTTCTGGTGCCTCAGCCATAGTTAGCCAGCTGCACCTGGGTACTCAACTTGCACTGTCCTTAGTAGAGCTCTGTGTAGCTATTACCTCACCCACCTTCTTCATATCCTGGGACCAGCATGGCTACAGCACCAGTGCAAACAGCTTCCTCCTTTTAGTCATTTAGGCTAACTCTCATTGTATAATTTGAAAGAAAGTATTTGAAAGGGGATGTCTCCATTGCAGATCAATGTCTAACTATTGCAGAACTAGTGGTGAACCAAGAATGCCAAGAAATCCCTTGTCAGTATTCTACTGTAGCTTCGCGTTTCTCTGGGAGGTTGTTTTCTCCTCCATTTATTTGAATAAAACTAACTTTGTTTTGTATAATTTTTAAAGTGTGTTTGCACTGCCAGGGAGAGGTGACTTGATAATTTTAAGTGTGCATGTGTAGTGGACAGAGCATTTCCCAAAATGTTCACAGCAAAACCCAACTCCAGCTCCTATTTCAGCTGCCACTGATGTGGGGGTGGGGCTGGGGCTATGCAGAAGAGTTACTTGAAATGTGTAAAGTGAAATCCATGGGGCTCATGCAGTGAGGTGCCCCACAGCTTTCTGAAACTTTGCTATGCTTTCTCCCCTACATCACAGCCCAGATGAGATTTCCGACTGAGTTAGGTAACCTAAAACCCACTGAAAAAGCACCCATAAATCCTAACACGCATGGGCCCTACCAAAAAGCCTGACCTAAAAGATCACTGCCCCAAACAATACCTGGGGAGACAGATTCCCTGCACCAACCTCAGATACTACCAGTTCTGTTCATTCCCTTTGGGGCACCTGGTATTAGCCTCTGTCAAAAGACCGGAAAGCTTTGGTCTGACTCAGTATGGCCGTTATGTTCTTATGCTCTCAATATGAGTTCTGCTTTAGTGCCATGAATCCAATGAAAATGTCAAATAAGGCGACCATGACCTTTGCTGAGTGGGAGAGTAACTTGTGTTCTAACAAGATTTTTATTTTACTTTTTAAAACTAGTAAAGCACGATTGCAGGTGCTACCCTAATATGTGCTTTGGTCTGACTCAGTATGGCCGTTATGTTCTTATGCTCTCAATATGAGTTCTGCTTTAGTGCCATGAATCCAATGAAAATGTCAAATAAGGCGACCATGACCTTTGCTGAGTGGGAGAGTAACTTGTGTTCTAACAAGATTTTTATTTTACTTTTTAAAACTAGTAAAGCACGATTGCAGGTGCTACCCTAATATGTGAGCCTTTTCTCTTTCCCGTCCTCACAAGGACAAATACTGATCTGGATGCAGTTCTGCAATCTTTGCTTAACCCTAATGTTTCACTGTCATTAACCAGTGTTCACCACAAATATGAGTACAGGAGGAGTGAGATTTATAGCTTGGGGAGGCAAACCCATATAGAAATACTCTTGTGTATATATAATGCTTAATCAACAGAGCCCATTGTAGTGTTTGTGGTACTTCAGTAATAAAAAATAAACATGTTATGTTAGCTTGTATAGGGTGCATTAGGTCATCTGTAAACTATAGGGCTGTGTCTACACTGGGCCACTTATTCCGGAAAATCAGCCGCTTTTCTGGAATAAGCTGCGAGCTGTCTACACTGGCCCTTGAATTTCCGGAAAAGCAACGATGCTCTACTGTACAAAATCAGCCGCTATTCCGGAAAAACTATTCTGCTCCCGCTCGGGCATAAGTCCTTATTCCGGAACACTGTTCCGGAAAAGGGCCAGTGTAGACAGCCCAGTAGTCTTTTCTGGAAAAAAGCCCCAATCACGAAAATGGCGATCGGGGCTCTTTTCCGGAAAAGTGCGTCTACATTGGCCACAGACGCTTTTCCGGAAAAAGGGTTTTT